CCTCACTGTGCCGCTCAGTCAACGACCCGAGCGGTTGTTATGACGGTCGGTTTACCTTGCCTTTGGTGGAGCCTAGAGTTTTTGTTAGAACCGTTATCCAGGTATTGTTATTACCGATATTGTTATTACCGATTATTCGATCATCATTATTTCGTTATTATCCACTCACAGATAATTATCATACGATTGTCGAGCAGATATTTTCATATTTTTTTATTTTTCATTCACGGTCGCGTTTGCGATTATTAATTTGATAGGTTTGCGAATTTCACTGGATCGTATTTGCGGAAGAGTTGCGAGCAAACTTCGCAGAAATATCGCGGAGTTGTTATTCGCAAAAGCATTGCGGAATTGTCTTCGCAAAAGTATTGCGGAGCTGTTATCCGCAAATATATTGCGGAGCAATATTGCAGCCTACTACGTTGTACAATCGAATCGTTACATTAGGGATATTCCGTGTCGTACGTGAGAATCTCGCACAGATTACTTTGCCCACGTGTCGAAAGATTTCGCGAGATCGGTCTTCGATTCGCGTCGCGTATCCCTTTTGCACGCGGATTCCGCGTTCTTCGTAACCTATTCGCGTCGCGCGTGTATCAAAGCGCTGCAGCACAACTCTATCGGACCGTTGCTGAGTTCATCGCACATACTCGTTGTTTATTCGAAAGGCCGACATTTTCTCGAAGACGCATTTCGCGATATTTCATACGCAATTTGCAACTCGGAGTGTATCCCCCAAGACAGACGGGATTTTTTGTGAAACCTCCATTAGATTACCGCGGTCGGAAGTGAATTACAGGCGACGTATGACGCGAGGATCATTATAGTGTCAAATGCAGTAACAGTATGGCTGGTGGACCCTGGACATCGTGGGACGACGCGCAATGGTAAGTGCTCAATTTAGACGCTCATATAGTAGACATAAAGCGTCATTTTACGTAGATTGCATGCATGTAGATGTAAATCGCATTGGGTCCGACGGGAAGTAAAGTAAGAATTGAAATTTACCGGAGTTACGTAAGAATGATCCATCCAAAGAATTTAGCTCTGAGATTTTCGTAATAGTAACACGAGTCAATCGTTTCCATTTCTTTAAGAGTACTGACTAGTTCAATCCTTAGAAAAATGTACAAACAGACGTGACTGTTAAAAAATTGAAAAACTGTTTCTTAATTTATTTCAAGCATATATAAAGCTTGAATTTTTTTGTTTGGTTTAAAAAGATGTGAATGGAGTATTCATTAATAAAAGTTTATAATTTTTTGAATTGGATAATTTTTGCATAACATTGGTCAATTGAATTTTCGACTCGGCAAGCTTCCTTCTCGTCAGATTCTTTATTGATGATACATTAAACTGATATATTTCAAGATGTTATATTTATATTCTTTGTATACATTATATATGCTTTTTTATACTCTATATATTTTTCATATATATCCTATGTATGCTCTATATATACTATTTGATTAATATACTTTATTATGTTATGTCATAACATGCTATACATGAAGCATGTGTTTACTCTTGTCGTCGAGTACTCTCAAATCGATTTTTTTACGAATTTTCGCAGAACGGATGACGTTACGAGTCTCATACTCTAAAACTATAATTCTTAAGCCTAGCACAACTCAGAACAAAAAGATCTCGGTTGGAACAAGAAAGATAGTATAAGTTTACTCTTGGTTCGATAGACTGTTTGTCAAAAAACTTTTTTTTAATTTTTCGGGCTTATAATTAAACTTATTGATTTGTGCTTTTGGAACAATGTTTGGAACAACTAGAACAATCTATATCTGTATCGGAATGCTTTATTTTCAAAAAATAGGGTGTCAGGTCAAAAACATTTTTTTCATTTTTTGGACTTATAATTTAACTTACGGATTTGTCCTTTTGGAATAATGTTTGGAACAACTAGAACAATCTATTGCGGTATCAGAATGTTCGATTTTCGAAAAGTGGGGTGCCAGCTCAAAAAATCATTTTTTTGTTTTATTCGAAAACCGTTTTGAATGAAGCAATATTACTTTGGAACAATGTGGTACAAAGTCAGAACAATCTAGAACAACTTTCAAAATTATAAATTTCAAAAAGTGGGGTGCCAACTTCATACACTCCTAGTTCTGGCCGCTGAAATCAGACCGGTGGCCGCTCTTAGGCTTCTCTCTGCTATAAACTTTTTTCGCGAAAAATAAACAAGCTTCAGACAAGGTTTCTTTATCACGTTTACTCCATTATCGATATACGACATTTGAATAGTTAATTACTAGTAAGTTAAGAACGAATTTTTCTTTAAATATGTAATTGCATCTGTATAAAAAAAATTTGCTAAATTTAACACACATTTATCATAAAATGCACCAATAACGATCTATTGTTAAATACGAAATATGCTTTTATATTTTCCGTGCAGTAAATATTATATAATATAATAATATATAATATTATATATCTATTATATAATATAATAGAGAGAGAGAGAAAGAAAGAGAGAGAGAGAAACAACATTGTTAGAAAAAGAACATTTTATTACACTCAGCTACGATACAACATATTGATGTACGTATTTATGCGGGCGCATCGAACATCCATTCTAATCGTCGTTTTATACGAGGAAGTAATGCGAAACAAATGAAAAAAAAATGAAAAACCAAAATATATCTTTCCAGAACAAGTCGCGTTATCAACAGAAACACTTTTATTTGTGATATGTTTTCGATTAGTGATACAATTGGAGCGCGAACGTCGTCGAAAAGTATCGGGGAAAAAATCTCTAATTAAAGTCCACCTGATTTCATCGAACGATATATGCTTCTCCTGGGTGGTTCCTTATTATTGACTGAGAATAACAGGTTGCGCCCGAATGACTATCACGGCTATATCAACCACCAAATATATTACAATTTATATAGTATTGACTATATTAATGTTACACCTTACAAGTTCGTTCGATTGGTTATGCAGCTAAAACGCGATTACGTGTTGAGTTAAAGGTAAATAGCGAGTGTGACGGACATTACATTACTCTTTCGATACCTAAAATGACGAGAGTCATTCTGATCCCTCGTCATTCTTGTCTTTCATTTCAGGGGATGCTGTATACCGACATAATGCAGTTTTCGTAGTTTACATTGTTTTTCTATTTGTTTGTATAAAATTGCAAGCGCTTTTATTGAGTCAAAGCCGATATACTAAAAGGGATACTCCATGTTATATCAACAACTACAAAAAACCTTCTTATTTATAACATTTTTCGTTTATTTTTTATATAACATGGAGTATCGTTTAATGCATTGACATTTGCACGTTCACTCTGTAAAAGCATTTGCAATTATATATAACTAAAAAGAAAAAACAGTGCAAATCATGGAAACCACATTATGTCGGTACGCAGCATCCCCTCAACTCGTAAAGATTTGCGTCGTACGCAGTATTATTGACAATATTACTGCAAATCACGTTTGCACTTGTGCTTTCTTGCTTAGGAATTACGTTTCGAAAGATCCTGTACTGAATCCAATTATTTCCAGACAGCCTAATCGTACAATACATCGCCAATATAAGACTGTGATTACTTTTTGGTATTATCTTTCATTGCAGGGATCTGCAATATCGATGATTAATAAGAATACATACTCTCTTTATCGTATACCGGTAAACGCGCAAATAGTAGATGGTACATATATATCTCTACATCGCAGATGGAAAGTCTGGCGTTACTGGCAATACGAAGTTACGACCAGAAAAACATTCTCGTTTGTGTAAAAGATACGCTGTAGCGTCTCTCGCGTGAGGACATATACTAAATAGATATACTTGGCACAAGACGCTACCGCATCCCTTGATAGAGCTCTGTTGGTCAGCTAGTAAAAAATTTCTTCTTTCCTTCTTTCGCATATTCAGTAATATAAATCCTCCAACCCGCCTCGAAAGTTGTCGCACTGAGTTCTGGTTACAGTGGGGTCTCCTCTTCTGGAAGTTACCTTGGAGTCGGAGGGGGAGGTGGTGGTCATACAGCACTTCCCGTGTAGAAGCCCGCTTTACCGGCTATCCCGGACGCTCTCTTTCTCTTCTCACACTCCATCGTACTGAAGGTGTTCTGAGCAATCTGCGATTTGCGCTTGGGGTTCTGCAAAGTCATGCTGCGCTGACTAGAGTTGGAACTGGAGCTAGTGCCCGGTTCCGATACCCTCAGGATGCCGGAGTGTATCGTCCCAAAGTTTTGGTATATATACTGTGATTGAATGGCCGATACCGATGTATTCTGGTTCTTCAGCGTGATAGGGACGGTCTGGCCTGCCAAGCTGTTGAATCGGGTATCGTAACCAAAAGGAGTGTCCAGCAGGGATTCATTCTTATCGGAGTAACCACTTAGTCTAGAATCAAGAAGACTTTCTTTGTCAGCGAAACCACTCAGCCTGGAGTCTACGACATTCTGGTCGGTGTTTCTCGCGGAGAAGTCGGAATAACGTTGCTCTTGGCCGAGTTCTTTGTTGTCGGTGAAGGCAATCATGTTCTGTCTGGAATCAGACAGAATCCGGGTGTCGATGAAGCCTTCCTTGTCGGTGAAGCCGCTAAGCCGAGAGTCTATGACGCTACCCTCCGATTTATCGACGAAGCTGTACCGTGGATCGATGTTCTTGTTTTCCGGGTAGGCCGGCAAGACGTGAGATAGATCTGCCTTATCGACGTAACTGATGGCCTGCGGGTTCGACGCACAGATGTCGGGCGCCGACTTGCAGAGCAACGAAGTTCCTTCTTCAGCTATTTTTTGAGGCGCTAGGACACAGAAGTGCGGACTTACTCTTTCCTCCAGGCATGAGAAAGCACGCTTATATTTGTACAGGGTGTCCCGCAGCACTTCGGAGATTTAGATCATTGGGATTCCGTTGGATCTCAAGATCTTGGCATATTCGGACCCGTAGGATCTCTACGGCGACAGATTACGGAACCCTTGATCTTTACAATTGCGCAAACGCTACATGCGTGTGCCGCACCATCACACGCGGGACACCCTCTCTAGCGATAAGTTCACCCACTTTTGGCTGGTTGACCGAAGGGTCGAGCCTGCGGCGGCCCCGGCGATTTCTGATGCGCCCTCACGAGATATTCCGAGCTGAGCCCTCTCTGCTCCCTGAGCTTCCTCTCAGCGCCCGGGACCATGACCCTCACCTAAAAAAACAAGGGGCATGAATATCCTCGGGCTAAGCGAGACAAGGCAGCATTCGACGATAAAGCTAGGAGTCCACTTGCCCCACGTCAGGCAACACGTGTTGTTTCACGTTTTAATGGGCTCTACCGTCCAAGTGGACTCCTAGCTGAAACCGGACGGAATAATTCGCGGTGAGAGTTTTGATCGACAACTTCACCATCTCCTCAACCGTGGAGAAGCGCGCCATGTAGCCGGACATCGTTAAAACGGCCGCCACTTCCGCAAGGATCAGCGCTAATCCTGAGAGCTGGAGGCACCAGCCATAGTGATACTGAGGTAGACCGTTATCGTCCATTTGCATGCCGGTTGGCGACGGCAAACTATATTTCCCTGGTAGTTCCAGCGATGCGTCCGACAACGCTGACGCCAAAACTATCAAGCCACCTCCCAGAGAGAGTCCTGAAACACATACCGTGTTATTCCTTCTTGTTTCCCACTCGTTGAACGGAACTTATAAATAAAACTATTTAACATATGATTGTCCAAGTTCAGTTAGGAAATATGCATTAAACAATCGAAGACTTGGAAAAGTTTGAGTTGTTCAATAAACAAAACAATGATTCCACGTTCCCGTCTACGTAGTCAGGAGATACCTAGCCAGTTAAAAGTTTGACAAATTTCTAATTTTCACCTTTTGCTTCTCCTATCGTTCAAAGTTCTCAGTTATCAATAACTTCACTCTACGTGACGGCCGAGGGTTGAGGCGCAACTATTGGGAACGGGACAAAATTGCCAAACTAGTAAGTAAGACGTGACCGCAGGACATGTTCAAGAGAATTCAGAACATCGCCTGCGCTTTATCACGACAATAGTCATCCTTGCGGCATGCGCATATCCGAATATCCGCAGTTAAGAACGCAATAACGGAGCAGCTTACCCCGTCATAACCCCCGTGGTATCGTCGGGCTTGGGATTGAACAGGCCGTACGAGCGACAGTCGCCAGCCGGCTCCTTCTCGCTTTACGTATGCAAATTTTTACGCTCGCTGCTTTAAGGCCGGCAAGAGCGCGGTCGAAGCTAAGTCGGGATTAGAAGCGAGTCGGAATCTAAATGGGCTTATGCCGAGTTAGGTTGAATTTAGGCAAACTCGGGTTCAAAGCACATGTTACACCCGCGAGTCGATTACACGCAGCGTTCACGAATATTCGCGCTTCTCGACATTGACTTTCCAATCGTATCTCTTGAGCGTTTTATCAACGAGTCATTTGATGTTCTGCACGGAAAAAAAGATTTAGTTAAATTAACCAGATATCTGGTCGAATATGAATCCAGAAGTTCCGATTGAAGTAACCCGAATTCTGTTTAAGGTAACAAGATTTTTGGTTGACTTAAACAGAATTATTCAACTTACTTCATTCTGAATTTCTGGATCGTTTATATTCGACCAGATACTTGGTTAATTCAACCAAACCTTTTTTTCCGTGTGTTTATCAAATATTGAGTTTCGTCCCTTTCCTGATGTGTGAATTCACATACATGTGTTGCCAAGACACGAGCGACAAAAAGAGAACGGAGGTAGAGTGACATCAAAACATCGTCCTGAAGATGTAAGTAATTTCCGGTATTGGATCGCAGTACTACTTGGAAAAGCATTTTACCCGATAGTGCTCATAACCGCTGCGAGGATAATCTGACGGTCACTAGACATGTTTGTGGGGGGTCACTGGCAACTGCAAGTGACGCATTAGATGATCAAGGGGACTAACAATGAGCGACAATCACTAGGCGCAACCTCGGTGATTATAGGGACCACTGCTATGTGATAATTGGCAGGTACACGCATGCAATTAACGAGTGCACGGTACTCTGGTGGAGAGTGACGTAATTTCGAGCGATATTCTCATGGATTCAATCATGAGAGATCAGGGATTGACCGGCAATTACAAATAACTTCTTTTTTATAAGACGGCTACCGGGTATCGTTCGAGTCGGTGAACCATAAAGATTTCATTCCAGTCGCCGTCGTCATGGGAATCTCCCGTATTTGTGGAGGAACGACGCTGCTCATATCGCGAAGCGCTATGGCTTACGAAGGATACGGACGATCGAATCATAATAAAAACGGGATTGGCGGCCCGCGGGAGACAGCTTACGAGGGAAGAAAATTGTCCTTCCAGTCTTCGCTCGCTGCGCGAATGTTGCCTTATGGATACTGAATCCGCCTCGGCAAAGCAATTACCGTGTCGATAACAAAGTAATAATCTCACTTAGGAAGGCGATTTATCAGAGTCGAGAAAATTAGTAGCTTCCATGACCTCCCATTGGGTCCAAAATGTTTCTATAGAATAATCCGTGTCGTTTCGATCCTCACACGAACTTTTGCAATATATCGCGAAGTTTACTATAGATAAGAATGACGTGACACACACACACACACACACACACACACACGTGTGCTGAATTTCGTTCATTTATCAAAGTACGAAGTACTTTTACTCTCACTTTTTACGCGCCACATCGTTAAGAACCACGTCTGAGAACAGTGATAACATTTTGTCGCAAGCAAGCCACGTAAAGCAAAGTCCACGATATTCGCGAATTTCCCGAAATCAGTCGTGAAGTATCCCATGTGTCGCGTAATGGCGGATTGTAAATGCACCTCTGGCGCGAATTAATTTTATTATAGCTCCCTGTAATTCTCGGCGTGCTTGTGTACGCTCTCGTAGCCGAATAATATCCGACTGCGAGCGAATACCACGTACACACCGACAGAAACTTCCAGTTCTGTCCTTGTTTCCACGTTCGTCGACTAAATTGCAATTACTGCTAATTAATTGAGCAAAGGTTTGAGTAGTTGTCGGCGGACAAAGCAAGGCGCGACTATGTCAACGAAGAAATTCTGGTTCATAGTGTCGACCGCGTAATTCCGCGGGATCGTACAAGTAAAACGGACAAGTTTTAAAAATTCTGCGACTCTCGCTGAAACATTGATGCGCTCTGATTATGATATGATCGTTTTAACATTTTATTTCCAACATTCAGCGCGAGTTTATCTCTCACGGAAGGCTCGTCCTTCTCCTCGCCCTCCTGAAAATTTAATTCGAATTTTTTATTAACTGAGCAGAGTTAGTCGCTACACCAGTTACTCCAGTTGCTTCTTCCTACATCGAGAGGGATGTTGCAAGAGTCTCCCGATATCATTGGACATTGACACTTAACACAAACCATCAAGACCAGAGCAATTTACATATTGTTATGGAATTAACACACATCTCAAAGTTTGCGCGTCCTGTGCGATATTCAAACTTCGGTTATACCTATCGAGATTATCGCGTTTCTTCCTCGCCCCTTCCACCCCTTTCCGCGATCTCTGGCTTCTGGCCGCTCATCCCTTGCCAAGCGTTGAAACCTGTACCCAATTAATCAGCAGTAATTACAATCTACTCGTCGAACATAGCCGAAAGTTGCCGGGTTGTTGCACCCCCTTTCATCCCTCTGTGCCACCCCCAGCGCCTGGAACGTAACACGCGTGTACCTTGCGCTCAGTCTCTTGAAAGTGCCTTAGATCAAAGTTGACAAACTTGATTCACCCTATTGGAGGCTGAGCTTGGCTTTCACGCGGGGCCGCTGGTAGATAGTTCGCCGCTTTCAGCACGGTCTAGCAATCTTGGCTAATCAAACTATACCCGGCTACGGAGTCGGACGTCCCGCCGGAAGTGGCCGGAGATCCCTCGACTCGTTTATTGCCGGGAAATCCGACGGGCGGATGAATACGGGCGCATTCCGGAGATATCGGTAGCCGATTGTTGCGTTGTTTAAACGCGCGAGTATAAGCGCTTTAACGGTGCTTCAATCTACTCCTGCTCCTGGGCCAATGGTTGCAACAACAAAACCTATCCTATCTACAAGAACCTATCGTAAAAATGCATGAGTCCAGCTTAAATGTAGCGAAATTCTCTCGAAAATTCTTACTTCTCGAAATTGTTTATTCTAATAGTTGAAATAACAGAGAGAGAGAGAATGAAATAATTATTTTATTTATGTCATCGTTTCTTATTTTTGTTCTTTACACTACTTTATTTCTTCTTATCATGTAATTAGAAAGGATTTTTCTTTTCATTAAATAATAATAATAAATGGTTACTAAATATTAATGTTATAAGATATATAGAAAACGGTGAAATAAAGGAATAGATAACGGAAGAATACACTCAAGCACGTGTTTACACAGTCTGGTCTACACGAGCGCGTCACGTCAGCTGTAAAGGGCGCGTGATCTCGAAAACAATAACATACCTAGATATACAATGAAGGGGCAATCATAACAGTTCTCGACCTGAGGCTAAACACGTCGGGTGACGTCGCGTGTTATTTCCGCGATTTCTCTCCGGTTCGATCAATCAGATTGTGAGTCCCAAAAATAGTATTATTATCATCTTAGGTAGCGAAATTTCTTACGATCTACCATTTCTTAATTCCAAGTAGTTAAAAGTAGTTAAGTTTGTTTTTAAGTAATTAAAAACCGGAATATACCATCCGAAGCCTCCATATTGTTAATACGTTGACAAGATTATTGAGAGCGCAATTTTCGTGGATACGAATGTTGCACAAAAGAAATTCAGTTTTGGCCGAGGAAAGCTCGGTTGAAGACGCTCCTTGTAGACTTCCCATGCTTTCGCAGTTGAATTCTTTACGATCGCAAACTGGGACATAGTTGTCGCGACAAGAATCGTCGAGTTGCAACGATCACGAAGAGTTAACACGCTCGTATAACACTCTTCTGGCGCGCTTAGCCTCATTTTGACAAACCAAAGTTTTTCGGGGAGGATTCGGGAATTAATGGCGCGTGTTTGTAGTGCTCGGTCTGTGTAAACATGCGTCCACATCGAGAAAGAAAAGAAAAACACCACGCGAAAAAACCTATTTACATTACACTCGAGCAAAGCCAGCCAAAACGAACGACTCGATCGCGCAATTAAATGTCTCCTGTTTCTTCCACGTGTTATCTAACAACTTCCTAATGAATAAAAAGACCAGGATGACACGTTCATTCTTTTCTTTTTTCCCTCATTTCGTTTTTTTCTTATTTCGACAATTCCGGAATCTTCCTAAAGAAGATCTGGGAGTGGTGGCTCACGTCGACAGCGTTCTCTAACACCTGGCCTGTGCAAACATATGTCAACGTGGAAAGAAATTTGTCACATGTTTCGCGCAGCAACGCTCGCTGACGAACGGAAAGACTGCGCTGACCAGCGTCAATCGGCTCGGAGCGCGACTCGGACATCTATAATTGCGCTAATAATATTAGCACATGTGTCACGACAATAACGACGGCCGTGCGCGAGTGTGCGAGATACGCTCGTAATGATAAAAACCGCAAAGCAGATTGACACAGAGACAGAGAGAGAGAGGCGCGAGGCGCTGGCGCGTACAATTCCGCTGGTTCCTCCGCAACGGCC